ACAAGACAAACAAAACAAAACAAAACAAGAGAATTGAAAAATATCTCGGATGTTAAGACAAAAGTACGAAACCAACAAATGAAGTGGGGTGGGGGGAGGGAGGGGAAGTGAGGTGGCGCTACCAGGGAATGTGGCTGTGTGTGGTGGGAAGGGAGAAGTAGAATATTTTATTGGAGGGGGTGCTTTGTTTATAAAGAAAAGTAATGTTATCTTTTTCAAAAAGATATAAAACCTAGTATGGTTTACGTTCATTTTAAATTAATATGTAGTCAGTTTGTTAAGAAAACCAGTTCCTTCTTTGCATTGAATGGGATAGAAATGCCTGTACCAATGGAGGTGGGGGAGGGAAAGAGGGTTTCTGGTCAGGGGGTAGTCTCACCCAAAAATGTATTTTTAAAATATCTTTTAGGTCTATTCAAATAATGTAAGATATTCTCACTGTTTGTTGCATACGCCTTTATAATGTTGATGACATTGCTATTGATGGTTTTGTAAATATTAAATGGACTTTTCACTTGTGTTTGTAATTGTTTTTGTACGTTTCAATTATTTTTATCTCGGCACAATATATTGGCATGAATGCTGTTGTATAGTGCGATCAGGATGAAGAATTAAGGTGCATGATCTTTAAAGAATAGGTTGGATTGATGGAGTGTGCTTATTCAACCTATAAATGTTTATACTGACACTCAAGACACTTCAATATTTATAATCGAAAATTACATATTGTAAAAAAAAAATCTATAAAGCTTGCAAATGCACAGAAGTCTACAGTACCAAGGTGTATGTATTCGATTAAACTCCTCGGGGCGTTTATTGAGTGATGAAAATTGTTGAGGGGGCTTTTATTCTAGGGAGGCGTTTATTGTTTTGGATGTAAATGGATACGTATGTACTCAACTAGACGCCACTTAACCAGTGGTGGCGCCAGGACCTGCCCGACAGAGGGGTTAAAGGCCCCGACGGGGGGGGGGGGCAGTGGAGTGAATCGATAAGGGCCCGGGGGGGGGGGGGGGGCAGTGGAGCGAATCGAGTCTCATTTGGCTGGGGCCGGGGGCCGCCCAGGGTCCCCCAGTGGGGGTCCAGGGTGCGAAACCCCCAGGAAGCCACAGATATTTGATGAATTATGGCGAATTTATATTACTTATTTGATAGGCATCGAGTTACTATAATATGACTTCATGTAGGCTCGCTTTCTAATGTTGAAATCAGCTTCCAAAACCGAAACATTTTGAATAAAACAAGAAACAAAGAGTATACAATGTAACCATCTAATTTATATTCAAATCCTCATTCTTGAAAGTGAAATTCTATATTTTGGAAATTTTGCATGAAATCTGTCAACCACGCTGTCATGGACGAGGTTGCTTCACCTATCACGATGTATTCCAACCATCATGACGCTATCTAAATGAGCATTTGTCATAACAAAACGCAAATTATTTTTAATTAGTCTTATTGAATTATTATTATTATTATTATTATTATTATTATTATTATTATTATTATTATTATTATTATTGTTGTTGTTATTGTTGTGGTGATGAAAAGTTAACACAAACAAATATGGTGGCTAAACGAATATTACATGTAAATATTGTTTTTTATTTGTTTGTTCCCCGACAAAATATATCGTCTTCCCCGACGGGGAGGGGGGGGGGGCTATAGCCCCCAGCGCCACCACCGCCCTTAACTTCACTGTAAATGTGGATTAGTACACAACACATAATTACCGTCAAAATGTATTATTACGTGATCATAACGCCTTATTCATCCCAATCAGAGGTTGGAAAAAATGTAATTCTACTGGAGTAGAACATTATTAGAATGAGTTACTTATTCAGTGGAAATATAAACGCCCGGAGCGTTTATTCTAAATTAGGCTCCAAAGGGGGAAGTTTTTATTTGTAGGAGGCGTTTATTCAAAGTTATGCACTGCAGGAGGTGTTTATTCGAAGGGGAATTTATTCAAAGCGGGGCGTTTATTTTAATAAATAAGGTATATAGGCCCTGGACCTATATTTTATTTCATTTCATTTATTTTGTCTTTATAAAACATTCAAGGACACCAACAATGCAAACAAATAACACTTATAAATAATAATATAAATATATAATATAATAATATATATAATAATATTATATAAATAAATATCACTTTAACGTTGATAAAGATAGCAGGAGCTATCGAAATATCCGTTTGATTTTGTTATAGTTTAATAAATTTTCAATGATTTTACACCGTTTTTTCATTATATATATATATATATATATATATAATAAATCATTAAAGAAAGGTAAATACAGTGTTTAATAAAGGACAATAATACATCGCGTAGCATAGCTCTCAACGAATGT